TCTGTACCTTACGCTCATCCGACCAGACATTCAGCTTGCGGTGCAGCAAGTTTGCTTGCACATGCACTCGCCCCGTGATGTTCGCTGGTCTATGGTTAAGCGCATTCTTCGGTACATTCGCCGCACGCCGACCTATGGTCTTCGGCTCCGCCTCGACTGTGCTCATTGCTTACACTGACGCAGACTGGGTTGGCTGTCCTGACACCCGGCATTCCATGTCTGGCTACTATGTCTTCTTCGGTGACTCTCTTGTCTCATGGTCCTTTAAACGGCAGCCTATTGTCTCCCGTTCAAGTGTTGAGGCTGAGTACCGGGCTGTTGCCAACGTGGTCGCTGAGACCTGTTGGCTTCGTCACCTCCTGGGTGAGCTTCGGATTTCACTTTCTGAAGGCTATTGTGGTCTTCTGTGATAACGTGTCAGCCACGTACCTCGTGGCTAATCCGGTGCAGCACAAGCGCACCAAACACGTTGAGCTGGATGTTTACTTTGTGCGTGAGAAGGTTCAGTTGGGTGAGCTTCGTGCTCTTCACGTACCGACTACCTAACAGTTCGCCGACATCATGACCAATGGGTTGCCAACTGTTGCATTGCAGGAGTTTCGTTCAGTCTTTGCATCGTCGATGCCGACGCTTCGCATCGACTGCGCGCGGGGGGGAGGGGGGGTTGAACCGTGACATATCTGTATTTATTACCGACTGATTCTCCTATCATCTCTAGCCTTGTATAGGTTAACTCCTAGAGATATTATAGGGTTAGTTGGCTTGTCATGCAAGACATCACCTGTATATATTGTAACAGACTCCGATGAATACAATTGAGTTGCATCCTATAGTCTTCTACATGGTACTATAAGTTTTCTTCCGATCTCCATCGCTTCCGCTCTAGGCCGCCGCCGCGCCCCACGCCGCCGCCTACTCCTCTTCTGCCGCCGCCGCTTCCTCCCAAGCTGCCGCCGCTGCACCTAAATTCAATTGGTCAACGAAAACACTCCGAAGTAGGAAATTACCTGGCGAAAGTGCATATGTTAAATTTTCTTAGGAACGGGAATTAGGACTGTGCACTTTGTTTGGTCAATGAAAACAAAAACTTCAGTCTTCCTCTGAACTGACATTGACACTGCGTACTAGTCGTAGTCATACACCTAGGAGGCAGTACTATCACTCACGGGCTCGATGGTGGTTGTTAACGGCGGAGAGCTGGAAAAGTGGCGATGGATCCCAGATCTTGCCAACATTCATTGTTTGTTGTTGCCTTGTTGTTTTCTCAAGTAATTATTCAGCCAAAAAGATAGCTTAATTGGCCAGCCAGCCAGCCAGCATTGACGAAATTCTGCGAACATGCAAACAGCTTAGCTTTTGGGCTGAGTTTATGCACTCAAAGTGCATATTGTACTACTACCTTTGAAGAGCAATGAATCTTTTCGTGCACATGCACGCATGGATAATGCAGTTGACTTTGTGTGGCTTCGCTCGTACTCCCATCATTCTAGCTGAGATATGTTGTTGAGGCATGCACTTTTGCTTTGCTATGTCGACCTTAACTAACTGCTTATGGATGAACCATCTATATCTTGTGGAGGTTCTTGCTATTATGTGACAAAATGCAATTAAGGGTTGCTTTATGTAAGTAGTTCGGCGAGAGGATTGTTTGCCTGTCTGGTTGGTTTGTGTACTAACAAAGGACGGGCGCTGAGTTTGGTAGGAAAGAATCCAAAAGGGTAGAAAAGAGAGGGTGGAGTTATGGACCACTGGTGGCAAGTCAATTCGTTTGGTGGCAAAGCATATTACAAACAACACCCCATACGACCTCTCACTGTTCCCATCCCCTCTTGTTCTATTTTTTATTTTATTTTTTGTTTTCAGAAATAGAAAATTGAAATTGTGTGGCGAGCAATGGCCTGTGTCTGAAAATCCTTAGTATTGTACATTCTAGAGTTTTTGTGGTGGATAATACATTTTAGAGTAATGTTTTGAAAAGGCCAGTGCCAGCTTGAGTTGGTTGCTTGCTAGTGCCTATCGGTAGTTCATATTCCCTCACCAAAAAGGAGTAATTTGTATGGTATTGCAGAAAGAAAATGCTATCAATTTTTCAAAGGTATATATGCATTTGCAATAATTATGAGAACTGATAAAATATGCTTGAATCTCAGCTGGTTTCTTCGCATGTTGCCGATGATCCGAACCACTGGTTCTCGATCGGACGGTGCCGCCATAATCTTGCCAAAGAAACTCCACCCCAGTCGCTATCCACTTTGGCACCACCCACACAGAAGGACAATCAAGTAATTCCACAGCTCCT